TATTCTGGTAATTCCCAATCAATTGCCTACATTCTTTCCTCCTATTCTGAAGATATGTCGTTTGCTCAATTTCTCTTCTCTTCCTCAGCTTACTCTCAATTGTGATCTTTTCATATCCTTCGAAACATTTGCCTTTATACCACTTTTTCTGACATCATATTATGGCCATAGAAGGGAGTGAACTGGGCAGATGGTCGTCGGCAGACGTAATCTTTCCTTAATACACAATTCTAATATCCCACTTCCTCAGTAGTTTGCCCAACCTCTTAGAGGCCTGACAAGATGGTAACATCAGGTAACATTTTCGAGACCCAGCTTTTCACAGTTTATATGAAGTGGATTTGCTTGTATTAAGTTCTCCCCATTTGACGAGGATGCGCAAGATTCTTTGGTTGAAGCCGACCAGAAGAGTCCATGGACAGCTGTTCCTGCGTAAAAAACAGGCAATATATCTTAAATTAAGAGTGGCCCTACCGCAACACTGAATAATCGGGCTTGAATCCGTATCTGTGCCGATAAATAGAAAGGGAATTTTAATGATTGTCACGATCCTAATCATTTTTTAAAATATATGCATGTGTTGTTGTACTCTTCGTTATGTACGTTAATTTGCCCTATTAGAAACCGGAAAGTGGACAATGTTGGATTGTGAAATAAAGCCCTCGCCACAACGTCTTATGACCCAGATTAATCACTACTGCGTGTTCGACTGTTCCCCCTTTACAAACATCGCCGAAACCAGAAAGGTTCTTTTATGAAAAGAACCAATCTAGGGTCACAACTGTAGGGCAAACCCCCTTTGGTGTCTAGGTCGACCAAGTTACAAAACTCGCTTTGCAACGAAATGAAAAATGGTCACAATAACAAGAATATATTAAGGGATTCTTCTAAACCTGGTTCCTCTTTAAAATATCAGTACTGCCAGCCATCGTAAGTGCATAGTTGCCGCCCCTTCTTGCCTGAAAGTGTGCATAGATAAGGATAGGTGGGTATGCAACGTTTATAACTCACTCTTGAGTAGGCAACAAGTCCCGACGGAGGATACCTTTCCCAAGACCAAGCAGAATATGTCTGTCACTAAGCCCCCGAGGAGATGTGACTACTTGCAACAACCTTCCTCGGGCGTGCGTGTGTGAGTGTATGCATCGGCTTGTCTGTGTGTTGTAGACATAAGTTGTGTGTGGTACCAATTGTCGCATTCTTGCATAGTTCTGTTTCAACCGGCGTGTGTAACTCATTCATGCCCTTCTGTGGGGCGGAGGCCGATTGAGGTTCAGGCCTGCCAGAGGTCCATTCTCTACCGCCTTCGTCGTTGAGCCGGTCATCCTCATCATCGTCGTCGCAGTCGTCGTCGTCGTCGTCATCATCATCGTTGTCGTTGTGCCAGTCGGTAGCTATAAAGCCTCGTTCTTGAGGCTGTCACGACCGCAATTCACGCTCTATAGGCAGTTTGGACAAATCTCGCATTCACACTTGCCCATTGCCCATTGCCCCTTCCGCGCAGGCACCAAGCGTATGTGTGTCTCATGTACGTGAGAGAGCACGCGGAGGCGCACGTGTGCAGCTCTAGGTGTGACTATAATTATAGTGATAGCAATTATAATAGGCTTTAGTATCTGATTTTTCAAGGAGCCATCGTCTCTTAGCCTCTCGCACACAAAAACTCTCCTTTTGGCACACATTCACTTTGCCTTAAGTAATCTCTGTGCAATTTACTCCTCGCCGATAGCAACTTTTTTGGAATCAGCCTCCCTTGGGAAGGCTAAAAAACGCATTTCAGCGGACACTTTGTTCTCTCCCACTGTTTCTCTCTTGCTCTACTTCACATTTTTAATTTTTATCCTAGCCCAGGTACGGCCATTTCCCTCGCCCCAGCCTCACTGAAATATTTAAATAATTGTGTGTGAATACGCACATACATATGTCTATGTATGCATACATATACATATAGACAAGTGTGTGGAGGGAGGTGTGTTTATGCGAATGTGTGTGTGTGTGTGTGTGTATGAGGTTGAAAGCAAGTGCCTATCCCAGCTGGCAAGCAGACAGGTATTGTGTGGATGATAAATAAATGAATAAGGAGTATTTCGCACAAGCACACATATGACTATGACTATGGGCGAGTGCCAGGTGGGGCCCAGAGTGTGTGGGGGGGAGGGGGTAGGTGGGGGGATAGATAGGAGGCAGAGGCGCTGGATTCAGGGGAGCTGGGAGGACGAGGCTGTGAAGACTGTGAAGACTGGCTGAGGCAGCTCGGGGAATAAAAATAAGTTTTCCAATCATAATTTTTCAATTGTCTCCATGTCAGATTATCTGCCTCGATGAGGCCTCATCGCCGCCTCCACGACACTGACTGCTCGTCCGTATCCTACGCCCGTCCTACCCCTCACTTTGGCTGGCCAGGTCGACTGTACCAGCCGACACTCTCCACCAGTCTCTTGTTCCACACCCTTCAGTCTGCCCCCCTCCTCCACTCCACCCACCAACCTCCTACTGAGTGTTCTACACTCGCATGTCGTTCAAGTCCCCATCGCTTTCTGAGTATTGCCGAACAGACTGAATGCAGGCCGTATGAAATTGTACCATCTTGTACCATCTCGTTGGGCATTCGCCAACCAGGCACTGTGTTTAGTGCCTTCCTCCAGGCCAAAGTAATTATAGATGCAGGAGCGCACAATTGACGCACGCACAAATACACACATACAAAGAGACAAGCATTCGCGTATATGTCTGCCTAACCGTATGTGATGTGTAAGTAAAGATGCTCGTGATGAAAGTATAATAGCTTGGCTTTTTTCCTCTTGTGTCTGGCCATAACTGCTCTATTGTTCTTCCCGCCATGTCGGGACTATCTTAACACGACCGTACTCTCTCATCTCTGTGGCAGGACACGAAACAATCGTCAACACAAGCATTAGTTGGGGTAAAAACTCTGCTTGCAACGCGGGTTGAGACGCTTTTTCACCTCATCCTTAGGCTGCTGTAGCTACTCAATCGGACATTCGACTTTCTGATTATGCATGTAACGATGATAGCTGTAGTGCCCTGTTTCTGGGGCCTTTTCGTCTGGCGTAGCGCCCAGTCTCCTCGTCCCTTTGACAGGTACCATTTTTGACAGAGCACTGACTGCTGGCCTGTCTAGGATATGGTAGTTTTCAGAAGGCAGCTTATACGCCTCTAGCCGAGGCGATGAGTGGACCGATGCCCTCAGATGTCATGCTGCCGCCATGGCAACCGGGCCTTTAATGTCACCTTGCGCATAGAGTCACTGTGAGGCTGACCGTTGCGAATTGTTCGTCACTAGACGAGACCGAATGACGCTGTGCCCGGGGGCATCGAGCCCATCTCAATCAACCTATTGTTGAATGGTGCTGGTTCCGCAAGAGGTAAGTCTCCCACTGCCTTCGACAAGCCTCTTCTGGAGCCCTCTGGAGCCTGTTTGATCTCAGACTTCAACAGCCCATTATCACTTGCTGTCTG